TTTGTCTCTCATAGTTGAGGTATACCTATGATGAAAATTACAGGCCTCTCTCATCTTTTTAAGTGGGAGAACTTGCACAATTGGTGGCTGACTAAATACTTTTTTGCCCCACTGTATCAATTTATCTGAAATATTTGTAGTCTTGGAGTGTTTTTGTATTTGTACCTGATTGTCTTAATAGGAAAAGTGCTTATCTCCCACAGCTTGTGTGCTTTTTCAAACTGTGTTTCATTTGTAGAAGCCTTTGTGCAAGAAGAATTTTGTAACCTTCACTTACACGCTTTTGAATATTTTAAAAGGTCTACTTTGACAATCATTTTTAAACACATTGGCTTTAGTTAGAATGCCAAATATTGCACCTTGTTTAGAATGTAATTTTGGCTTTGCCTTAAAATTCCAAGGATCTGTTAGAAAACATAAACAGTTAAGCAGGTGTTAAAGCAAATTATGTACATGTGCAATGTAGATATAGCCTTAGTTGAGTCCTTTTTAGACAGAAACATTCCTATCTTGACCAACCTGCTAAGATGTTGGGACTTCAACAATTATGACAGGTTTGAAAATTTAAAGTTATTATGTAAATTGTATGTATGTAAAAAACAGGGAAATTATTTTTTTGGAGAAGAAATGGCCATGTGGGATAAAGGTGAAATTGCTTGATTTTTAAATCTTTTTTTTTTATAGAGTTCTCAATTTTATTCCATAATATACTAAATTGTTTTATTTCTTATGTGGTTATTGAAAATTTGTTTGTCTTCACTTCTAATGGAATATGTGTGGGGGTATGAGTAAAAGACTTCTCCCAGATACAATATTACAATGGTTAGGCATATCCCAGATTTTTTAAAAAATGTAGATTTCATTATAGGGCTACCAGATCTGGGATGTACAGATCCATGTGGCCACTAGATAGTAGCTAGGAGGTTTTTATATCTCTTTGCTACCATTTAATGGTTGTCTGGAGTAGAGTGGTTTTGCTGATTAAAAGGCAATTAACTACCCCTACAGAAAAGGAAACATGACCAGCTGAAATATTATTGAAGGAGATATCTTTTACGTAGCAGATCATCAGTCTTTTCTATTCTAAGATCATAGAATCATAGAATTGGAAGGTATCTAAGAGGTCATCAAATCCAATCCCCTGCACTCTGCAGGATTTGCTACACCGTCCCCGATAGATAATTATCCAATCTCTGTTTAAAAATCTCAGTGAAAAGGAAGAAACCACTCCATTTGGCAACCTGTTCTACTGATTGACAACTGTTATTGTCAAGAAGTTCTTCCTAATATCTAATCTGTATCTACATCCTTGAAGTTTCGTCCCATTAGTTCTAGTCTTACCTTCTCAAGCACGTGAGAATAAGTCTGGACCCTCTACAGTGTGACAGCCCTTCAGATATTTGAAGACTGCTGTCATGTCCCCTTTCAACCTTCTTTTCTGCAAGCTACACATAACTAAGTCTTTTAACTGTTCCTTGTAGGACTTAGTTTCCAGTCCTTTCATGATCTTAGTAGCCCTTCTCTGGACTTGCTCTGGTTTATCAACTTCTTTTTTAAACTGGGGTATGCAGAACTGAGCACAATACTCCAAATGAGGCCTGGCCAAGGTAGAGTGGGATAATTACTTCCCATGAGTTGGACTTGGGAGGATGTTCCCAAGATGTCATTGGCCTTTTTTGCAGCTGCATTATGCTGATGGGACATGTTGAGCTTGAGATGCACTAGTACACCCAAATCCTTCTCACATGTGCTGTTCTTGAGCCATATTTTCCCCACCCTGTACATATTTCTTTTGTTTTTTCTTACCTGGAAGCATAGCTACTTTTCATTC